TTTTTTTTTTTTTTTTTTTTTTTTTTTTTTTTTTTTTTTTTTTTTTTTGTTTTTTGTTTTAGATAACATAAATAATATAATATGCTTAAGTGCTAGCAAAAAAAAATATTGTAATTCTAATGTATAAATATACTCGTATATCTTTGAAAATGTTTCATTTAGCAGCATTTAAAAAGCAACGCATTTTTTCTTTCCCTCATGTTTTTCCTGTTTTTTTGTTTGTTTTGTTTTTGTTTGAGCTTAATTTAAATTCAAATGCAGCGCAGCAATTCACAACGTTTAAAATTAAGCAGCGCATTTAAATGGCTTTCCACGTGGGGTATATACACAGAGACAACTACAACGAGGCTTCACATAAAATATAATAATAATAATAATAATAATAATAATAATGGTATATAGAGGGGGGTTACGATAATAATTATATATTAATAATATTACATAGGTACTGATAAAGGGTGGTGGGGGTGGGGGCTGGGGGTATTTAGGTAGCTGTTTAATATGCCGGAAGGACTTTTATTACAACTATATATGAATATATATATCTGAATATAATATCAATAATAATTGCAATTATATTCCGAACTTGTGTGTGTGTGTGTGTGTGTGTTTGTTGGCTAAAAAACTAGCTTTAACTTTAAATAATCACAATTAAATATTGCTAAGGTAATGCAACAGCAACAGGCGGCAATGCACGTGTCCTGCCCCACAGAAGCACAATAATAAAACTATTGTAAAAATCGATATATGCATATACATATAGATATACATATATATACACACATATATATATATATCGTGTTAAAATTAAATCAACAACTTAAAAAAAAAAAAAAGCAGCAAGTTAAATAACAAAAAAAAAAAACTCTAAGAATTGTTGAAAACGAAAAAAAAATATATGAATATATATATATATATATAAACGAATTTACTTGACATTACATAAATATGTACAAATAGATAAACAGATACAAGTATTAAGACATACATATATCGATCCAGGTATATATGTATGCGTGCATAAAATTATTAAATAATATTTATAGACTGAAAGCTAAGTAGTGCTGTGTGGTGTAGTGTAAGTGTAAGTGTAAGTGTGAGTGTGGGGGAGTAGGGTTAGGTTAGACGCTGGTTGCAACTGGCCAAGCAGAGAGTTCAACACACAATTGAAGCGTTGCTGCCAGCGGCACCGTTCGACGACACGGCAGCACTTCCGACCGACCAGCGGACTCCAGCGACTCTCCGCACGGGCGAGAGCTGCTAAGAGCAGCGCGCAGGCACTGGAATGGCGCCAGTTGGCTACCAAATAGCTGGGCCGCACTAGCGGCGCGACGTTAGTGTTGCTGCTGTTGCTGCTGTGCTGCTGTCGCTGCCACGAAACGTCCTGAAGATGCGCAACAACAACGAACGATCCTCGCCCTTCTCGTCCACCTGACGATCGACGCGCCACCCGATGCTAGGCAGCCACCAGAAAGGCGTGTAATTCTCATCGTTTGGTGTTGTTGCTGCTGTTGTTGTTGCTACTGCTGCTGCTGCTGCTGCTGTTGTAGTTGTTGTAGTTGCTGCTGTTGCTGCTGTTGGCTGTGGACTCGCGCCTAAGCTATCTACTCTAATTATTTTACTATTTCTATTGCTACGATTTGTATTAATACTTAATTGCTGTTGTGTGCTTCTTGTGGTGTCAGCAACTGTTGCTGTTGCTGTTGCTGTTGCTGCTGTTGTTGTTGCTGCTGTTGTTGAGCTATCAGCAGCAACAGCAGCAGCATTACCTGACATTATTGTTGTTGCAATTGTCTCTGCTGTCTGTTCGGTTGCTGCTGTTGCTGCTGTTGTTGCTGCTGTTATTGTTGCTGCTGTTGCTTCTGTCGACGTCTGGCTCAGCATTGGCATGAGGCTAGACCAAAAATTTGTTGCCTCTGCCGCCGCTGGAGTGCTAGACGCATCCGAGCCACTCTCAATGATCGTTGCTGCTGTTGTCGTTGTCGTCGTCGTCGTCGTCGTCGTTGTCGTTGACGGCTGCTGCTCGTGTTGCTGCTGTCGCAGCTGCGATAATCGCCGCTTGTCCTTAACCAGTTCGTTTATAATGCGCAATTCTTGTTCAAAATTAATTTCACTTGCCGCCCGCTCACTGTCACCCTGGCCGCCGATTGTGTTTGTCATTAAATTGTCACTGGATGCCATATCGTTCAACACATCCAAGTCGTTGTCAGCATTGTTGCTGTTGCTGCTGCTGCTGCTGCTGCTGGTGTCGCTGTCGCTGCTGCTGCTGCCAATGGCAGCAACATTTCTGTTCAAATGCTGATAATAAAACCGGTCATCATCTCGAGCATTGCCATTGGCATCTTGATGTATGGCAGCAACTTTGGTTTCAGTAGCAGCAGCAACTGTTGCAGCTGTTGTTGTTGTTGTTGTTGTTGTTGTCACTGCTGCCGATGATGATGATTCTGCTGCTGTTGTTGCTGCTGTTGGTGTTGTTGTTGATGTCAATGATATTGCTGTAGCTGCAGTTGTTGTTGCTGTTGCTGTTGCTGTTGCTGCAGTTGTTGTGGTTGAGCTTAACTGAACCGGTTGCACTTTCGATTTTTTCAACACAGGCACATCTAGCTCTTGTTCTTCTGCTCGTGTTGGTGTTGTGGGCGTAGCCAACGATGTGGTTGCTGATGTAGTTGCTGTTGCTGTTGCGGTTGCTGTTGCTGTTGTTGTTGTAGCTGCTGTTGCTGTTGTTGTTGTTGTTGTTGCATCGGCATCGCGCTCTGCTGTGGTTGGAACAATATCCGTCGCTGAGTCGTCAGCATCCAGATCGGCGCTGAGCGGCGAGACGCGACGATGACTGAACTGCGGCATCAAATCGACGCTGCTGCCGTAGGCCGGCAGAAAGGCGTCGACCTTGAGCAGCTGCTCCAGGTCCGTTTCGATCTCTGCCTCGGCCTCGGCCTCGGCCTCAGCCTCAGCCACCGTCTCGGCAGCGCTCTCTGACTCTGACTCTGAGTCCGACTCGGGCTCGGGCTCTGGCTCTGACTCCGATTGCGCCCCCGCATTGGGCTTTGCATCCGGCTTCGCCTTGGGCTCAGTGCGCATCGAACTCGTCACAAGCTGCACCGTTGGCTCTTCATTCACTGACGCGCCCGCTGGCACAACAATGGCATCGATATGGCCAATGTCGCCGAAGGAGCCAATGTTGCTGCTGCTGCTGCTGCTGCTGCTGCTGCTGGATATGCTGAGGCTTGTTGTGCTGGGCAGAGCGCTGCTCGCATCCGCCTGCAGGTCTTGGTCGCTCTCGGCTATGCGATTACTCGGCCGCTGCTGCGCCTTGAGGGCGTCCTCGCGCATCGTTGCTATTGTGGGTGTTGGCGTGGTCGTTGCTGTTGCCGTTGCCGTTGCAATCGATGATGATGTTGCTGTCGTTGTATTGACAACATCAGACTCCGATGCCGTGGGAAACTTCTTTTCGAATATATTGAATTTGAGCGGCGCATCCTCGCTGGGCAGCGCCTGGTCCTCGGCACCACTGGCACCACTTGTGGGCAGCGTGGGCAGCGGATCGGACAGAATGAGCGGCCCCAGTGGCATCTCGTAGATGAGCTCGTCGCTCTCGTTGTCGCTGTAGTCGTAGTCGGTGAAGGCCGTGGGCCCACCGCCAGCACCGCCGCCACCGCCGTAGCCCAGCTGTTCCTGCAGCTCCTGCGCAACGAGATCGGTGGGATCGATGTTGGTCTGCGAGATGCAGCGCTCGTTGTACAGCTTGTGGCCCGGCGGACAGTGGCGGAAGGGCAGCGCGAATATGGACTTGGGCATCACCTTCTTCTGCTTCTCGAGCGATTTCTGTTCGTAGGGCAGGCGCAGCCACGCCTCCCACGCATCCTTCTGGGCATTGCCCTCGATGGGCCGCGAGGTAATCGGCAGCGCCTCAACCCCGCCCGCCTTCAGGCTGTGCATGTGCAGCACGGCCAGCGCCAGCAGGCCGTGCACCAGCAACAGCATCCAGCGATTGCTCGCCTGCCGCTTGCCTCTCGACGACGATGCCATGGCGGCGATCCTCCAGCTCCACTGCTGCAGCGTTACCAATCCCACGATCCTAGTGCCGCTTATCTCTGCAATCGAAAGCGAAACGGAAACGCACAGAAAGAGAATGGATTAGTATGAGTGGCCAAATGTGCTGGCAATTGCCCACAGGTAAAGCTCCCCTAGCCCTAAACCCCACCCCGCCCCCCCACACACACAGCTGCTAATGCTCTTTCTGTGCCACCAGCAGCAGCAGCAGCAGCAGCAGCAAGAGCAGCAGCAGCAGCAGCAGCTGTTCTGCTCTGTGTGCTTTTTGCCCCGCCGCATCTTTTGTGGCATGTGGAACAATACCGGTTCTCAATTGTGTGTGTGCGGGTGTGTGTGTGTGTGTGTGTGTGGCTGGGCCGCACACGGAGCGTGCCACAATGGCAACAATTCATAAAACTTTCTGAGCACTTTAAAGCCCAAAAAAATAAAACAAAAATCGAGAACGATAAATTGAAAGAAAAATTATTTTTGTAAATTTTTAATAAATGTATATATGTATAATTAATCGTACATATAAACATATTTAGCACGCACTCAAATGTTGATAAGAAATAAAGATAAATTAATTGGCTAAAAAATAAATTATAATGTGATGACAATTGAAGACTAATTCGAGATTAATTTTAGTATAGAGCAGAGCGAAACTCTCTCTTGCGCCCTCTCTCTATCACCCTCATTCTGTCTCTCTCTGTCTCCCTCTCTCTGTCTCTCTCTCTCTCTCTATCTCTCTCTCTATCGAAGCTGATTGAAATAATTGCGGAAGCAATCTAATATGGAAACATATATTTATATATTATTTCATTTAGTCATTTCATATGTTAAAATAGCTTTGTGTGAAGCCCCATAATATTAATTATTAAGGCGAAGTGACGATTCTAAGTATTTTATATATATTCGTATTCATATATATTTGTATTTTATATATATTTTTGTGTGGAAGGTGCAAATAATTATATAGCGAAAAAATTCCATAAAGTATTTAGTATACTCATTATACTCATATATTAATGTTCATTATTTTTATTATATTTTTATATATTCACTATATTCGTTTCATTATTTTACTCAATAATTTGCATGCCTCTATATTATATTCCATAGCTGCAATGATTTCCTTGAATAATTATCATTGTATATATTTATTTAAATTTTTATTGAATAATTATCATTGTATATATATTTATTTTAAAATTGTCAAATTTAAGAGATAATATTTTAAAAAATATATTATAAATATATTGATTGCAGTTCCGCCAAGCAGCATAATATAATTTATTTATCATATGCATTCAATATATTTATAGTATTATTTGATTTATTTTTAATTTAATTTTATTATTATTTTATTTAAAAATATTTATATTATTCTTCACTTTTTCATTTAATTTAATATTTATTTATTTATGGATATTTTTAGCTGTATAGTTATTTTTTATTGCATTTTTTATAGCCTTTGTGCCACTGTGCGCTTGACGCTCGCGTCGGCGGCAGTCGTCATACACAAAGATTGTGAACTTGGGCATCGCTTTAATGTTTTAATGGGTATATCGACGGTGGCAGGCACACGCACAGGCACACACACACACGCACACACCTACACAGACAAATGTATATCTCTCATCAGTCATCTGTGTTGTCATTATCAACGGCAACAATAATAATAATAACAGCAGCAGCAGCAGCAGCAGCAGTGGCGACAGCAGCAACAGCAACTGCATCAACTTGTTGCTGCCACAGCAGTCATTGTTGATGTTGCACTTTGCTTAAGCACACACAGACACGCACACACACACACACACATACAAATGCAAACAGATATGTAGTGGGACAAGCACGCACAATGTTTATTTATAAAGATACACACACGCACGCTGGCTGAGCGACACAGGGACAGAGTGCGACGTCTGGAGAGACCATAGACATATATGTAGGTTATCTGCGGGTTCTTCGAATTTATGAGTTCAAGTGTGGCACATTGCAACCGCGACTTTTTCCCACTGCTCTAACTGTTGCACTCAAGTTTATGGCCGCCTACTGTTGCTGTTGCTGTTGTTGCTGTTGTTGTTGTTGTTGCTGTTGCTGTTGTCATTATTACTTGTTAATAGCTTTTTAGTGGGCCGGACTCGGCGTATCGGTCATAAAACTGAACACTGGCCATTGGCCACCTTAGCCTATGTCCTCAGCTTCGTCTCTGCTTTTTGGGCAATGCGTGTGAACGTCAAGAACCTCTCGACACACACACACACACACACACAAGAGCACACACATGTGTATATATTAAATAAGCACTTGATAAGGTTAATGTCATTACGGCATTATGTAAGACAATGACTTTGACACCCGCAGCACTTCGTATGCCTCATAGCTCAATTAGTTGAGCATTTGAAGTACCCACAGCTTAAAAGTGAATGCAAATGGGGATTTTGGTGGCATAATTACGACGAGGTTAACATGCATTAGCATATACATATGCATGCATATGAATACTTGCAGTTCCACATAGATTGCGATGAGCGATATCTGCTGACACCTACAGGTAGAGAGAGCCCTTCTCATGCTAGGGCAGTGTAAACACAAAGCGGCTTCCGCAGCTGCAAGACGACTCTGCAGTAGTTCTCTAGCCAGGCTTATGGCAGGATATGCCAAGGATATTTCCACTTTAAGAAATTAGAAACTATGAGAACAAGTTAGCTATAATTAAATGTATATCTTAGCTTTCAGAAATCAATTTAGCACTTATGTTAACTATGAAATGTTAACTATTATATGTTAATTATAGGAACATATGAGAATATGTAACTTCTACCTGACTTATGTTAACTATGATGACATGTTAGCTAAGATAACATTACAGCTATAAGAAATTATTTTAGCAAGCAGCGAATATGCCTTTCTATCTCACTTATGTTAACTATGATAACATGTTCAGTGTAACATATTAATTATGTGCAACTATGAGAATATACTAACTAAGATAACATTCTAACTGTGAGATATGAGTTTGAGTAAGCAGTGAAGCTGTTTTTCTATCTCATCTATGTTAACTGTGATAACATATTGCTCTCACATCTGTTAGCTAATGCCACATTCGCACTTGCCAGCGGTCAGACACGCGCATGACTTAGATAGTCTCTATAGTTTCTGTCTCTCTCTCTCTCTCTCTCTCACACACACTGTTTCTCTTTCCCTCTCATGTGTCACATGTCTGCAGCCTGTCGACTGGCTGTCTATACTACATCATGCCAGACAGCTGTCTGTTAGGCCCGCCAAATTGAAATCAACTTCACACGTCGCAAATTTTTAATTAAAAATCAGCAACGGATGTCAATTTGGGGCCACAGCCAAAAGGACCCACAGCCACGGACGGACCTCGCAAAACACTTCAAAACATTTCGTGTTTTTTTCCGCCTTCTTCAGTTTCAGTTTCGGTTTCGGTTTCAGTTTGTTTTTCGGGCTGCTTCTTCTTCTTCCTTTTTTTAGTTTTGCTTCATTTCTGTTCATTTTTTTTCTGCTCTCTTCTATTTGATGTCCTTTGGTTTTTCGGACAACATTTGATGCCTTTTACGCGTGCAATTCCATTTGGGATGGCAACAGGATTTGGGGTCCTATCTATGATTTTGCTGTTGTTGTTGTTGTTGTTGATATTGCTATCTACACACACACACACACAGACATGCATAATTCGAGGCCACAATACATTGACATCCTGCTAATACATTACAGCTGCAAACCAACAGCAACACAAACACAAACAACAATAGCAACAGCAACAGCAACAACAACAACAGCAACACGTACAGGACACGTAACTGTGCTTTCTGTTTCGTGCTCGCACGTATTCAATTCAATTCAATGATTCAATCCCATTCGGCATCCTTCAAAACAACAACATGGCAACGGATGGCAGCATATACATATACATATGTATGTATGTGTGTGTGTGTGCGTGTGCATGTGTGTGTACGTGCATGTGTCCCGCTATTCATTTGCCAATTTTTGATGGTGTCCGCGGAACGCCACATGCAATCGCTGTCTCACTCCCCATATGCTCAGCTATTCATGCATGTGCATGTCCCTGCCTATCAGCATCATCAGAGTTGCCCATCTGTGTCTCTCTCTCTCTCTCTCTCTCTCACTCTCTCTTTCTCTCATATATGTGTGAGTGCAGCTTACAGCTCAACATTTGAAACAAAATATACGCAATTCTCTATATAATACACATTTGTATATAAAAATTCCTTATATAAACTTATCCCCCCTCTCTTTCTCTCTTTGCAGCAATCATTTGGTGACAAAGGTAAGCCTTAACGATCCTCACTCATGCAAGAAAATATCAATTATCTGTGATGAAAAGAACAGCTCATCATCATCTTTGTGACAAGCCTTAAGCGAACTAGAGTATGACTTACCCAAATTAAGAAAAACAAAGACGAAATTATTTACGACTCAACTCACTTTAAGCAAATTAAGTTAAACTGATGCCTCAACTAGCACAGAGTCATATGATTTAGTCAGAGAGTGTGTGGTGCTCAAAGGGGGTGACCGTTCTGAAGAGGCAAACTAAGTGTAGTTCTTAAAAAGTATGAGTAATCGAGTGGAAATCGAGTTGCAATGGAGTTACAATGAAGTTGCAAGCGAGTTGCAATCGAACGGCAGTCGAGTTGCAATCGATTTGCAATGCAAATTCAGTAGAGTAACAATCAATGTATTTTCTGATTTAGATTTCCAACAGATTTACAATCGAGTTGCAATCGACTTACAGTTGACTATCAATTGAGTTGCAATGAAATTGCAATCAGGTTGCAATCGAGATGCTATCGATTCCCCGGTCGACTAACAACCACGTCACAATTGAGTTGTAATCGGGCTGCAATCGAGTTGGCCATCGATTTTCATCATAATTGCGATCGAGTTGCAAGCGAGATGCAATCGAGTATTAATCAATCGAGCTGCTTCTGAGCTGTTGCAATGAAATTAAAATGAAGTCAATCTGTAATCGAGCTGCAATTAACTTACAATCGACCGCCATTTGATTAACAAT